CCTCCCCTACTCCACCTCCCTCCCCCCCCCTCCCCCTTCCTCCCCTCTCCTACTCCACCTCCCTCCCTCCCTCCCTCCCTCCCTCTCTCCCTCCCTCCCTCCCTCTCTCCTCCTGTCCTCCCTCCCTCTCTCCCTTCCTTTCTTCCTCCCTCCTTCCCTCCCTTCCTTTCTCTCTTCCTTCCTTTCTCCCTCCCTCCCTCCCTCCCTCCCTCCCTTCCTTCCCCACTAGGTTTTTAACTCAGATTATTAAGCTTACTAGGCAGGTGCTCTACCAGTTGAGCCATGCCTTCGGTCCTCTGTTTTTTGTGCCCATACTGGGGTTTGAATTCAGGGCTTTTTTGCTCAAAGCTGGAGCTCTACCATTTGAGTCACACCTCCACCTCTGACTTTTGTCTCATGGATGTTTGAGCCTGGACTGGCTTTGAGCTATGATCCTCAGCTCTCAGCTTCCTGGATAGGTAGGATTACAGGCATGAGCCAGCACCAACAGTCATCTTTATTTTTAAAGGCTGAATAGTATTCCGTTTTATATATGTGCCACATTTTCCTTGTCCGTTCATTCACTGATGAACACTTAGGTTGGGGCCATGTCTTGATGTTGTTAATCTTGCTGCACTGCCCGTCAGATGTGGCTCACTTCACTTCTTTTACATGTGTACCCGGGTTGGAATGGCTGCAGCCTGTGGTACTCTATTTCTAATGTTTTGAAGGACCTCTGCTGTTTTCCGGATAGTATTTCTAGTTCACATTCCCACCAGCGGTGTGCGGGGGTCTCCTGACTTCACCCTTCTGACGGCAGCCATTCTAGTAGCTGTTCTAGAGATGACCTCAGGGTGGTTTAATTTCTGTTTCTTAGCGCCAGTGATGCAGAGCAACCTTTTTGCCATCTGCTTATCTTCTTTGAGATGCATACTATCCTATCTTCAAATGTCAAATGTTCAAGTCCTTTGTCCATTTTAGCTGCGATATTTGCGTCCTGGTGACTGAACTGAGCAGCACCTGGATTTTAGGTTCGAAGCCCGGGTCAGACTCCGCCCTTCAGGTCTCCTGCACCGTGTGAGCGGTGGCTCCTCTGCACTTTCCTTTTCTGCATGGTTTCATCTGCTGTGAGCCTGCTTGTGTGGGATGCTCTCGTTTCCCAGCTTTCAGGGTCTGCGCACCTGCTTTTTGTCTTTAACTGGGGCCTGCAGAGGCGCGGGGGGAGAGCGTGGGAGGCCCTATGGCAAAGCCGCTGCAGGCTCTGAGCACAGCACGGTTGGTTCTGAGCCGCTGGGCTCGCGCAGCTCCTCCCTGGCCAGGGACACAGGCATCTTCTTAGGTATTGAGACACGGATGCCTTCATTCCCCTTCTCCCTCCCCTTATCAGCCTCCTGGCAACACAGGACACGCCTGGGGCCCGTGAGCGTTGATTGGGGAGCGCCGCCTCTGCTCCTCCACCCGGGCCTTCCTCCCCGGCCCGCTTCTCTGCTGTTACTCTTACTCTTGAGATCGCAACACCATTACCTTCATGGCTAGAAAAAGACTGTAAAAGCCAAAGTAATTCATATTTAATAAAATGTCATATTCCAAAGGAGGAAAATGTCCCGGCGTAGAACGGACTGGTTTCAGGCATGGTGTGGCGCCCGCTGTTTCAGATTCTGCCATTCTTCCTACCACATCACGCCACGGGTCTGAATCAAGTGGAGTACAGTGCGATCACCTGTCAGCCTCTGGTCCAGAAGCTCTGGCTGCCGGGCGCTCTGCTGGGGGCTTCCCTAGCCATCGCACAGGCAGTGCAGGCGCCTTCATCTGTGTCTTCAGACGCTGAGCTGCTTTCTGTATGCTGTGCATCTTGTTACATCTCTTGACTTGGGATCATGATGGCCATCTGAGGCTGGGCTGGTAGGTGGTGGGAGCTTCTCTGATCTGTTCGGATTTGCTGTTGTAACAGACAAACCAAGGCAATTTTCCTTCTTGTGTCTCATTTCTCCATTTATTAGCTACTACACTTAAAGCTTGTAGTTGTAAAACTGAATACATGGGCTGGGCACCGGTGGCTCACCTCTGTAAACCTAGCTACTCAGGAGGCTGAGATCTGAGGATTGTGGTTCAAAGCCATCCTGGGCAGAAAAGTCTGTGAGACTCTCATCTCCAATAAACTACCAGAAAACTGGAAGTGGTGCTGTGGCTCACATGGTAGAATACTAGCTAGCCTTGAGCTGAAGAGCTCAAGGACAGCACCCAGGCCCAGAGTTTAAGCCCCACAACCGACAAAATAAAAAACAAAACAAAAAAACTGAACACATGGCCTCGCCACGTTGATTTGTTAGTGACTGACGTTTGAGTCTGCTCTGCAGGGGCCTCCCAGAGCACACACATCTGCTGCTTTTTTTTTTTTTTTTTTTTGGTTGGTCGGTCGTGGGTCCTGAACTCTGGGCCTGGGCGCTGTCCCTCAGCTCTTCAGCTCAAGGTGAGCTCTCTACCACTTGAGCCACAGTGCCACTTCCGGTTTTCTGGTAGTTTATTGGAGATAGGAGTCTCACAGACTTTTCTGTCCAGGCTGGTTTTGAACCACGATCCTCAGATCTCAGCCTCCTGAGTAGCTAGGATTACAGGGGTGAGCCACCAGCGCCCCGCCTACACATGTCAGCTTCTGAACCTAGAAGCTGCACCAAAGGACAGAGGGTTTGGCTCTTGGGATTTTTGCAATGTCATGTTTCTTGTCTTTACGCAACCCGACCGCTTTACACAGCTCCCTGGACTTCTGTCTCCTCATAAGGGCACCGTGACATAAAGACTCCGCTATTTTAAAGGAAAACTTACGAAAAGTAAACATAGCTTCACGCTCAAAAATAATACATATGTGTTCCAGTTTCATGCCATGGGAACTGTTTTTAAAGCAATAACAATGCTTGAATTTTTTTTGGGGGGGTGGGGGAAGGTTCGGTCGTGGGGCCTGATCTCTGGGTCTAGGTGCTGTCCCTCAGCTCTTCAGCTCAAGGCTAGTGCTCTGCCACTTGAGCCACAGTGCCACTTCCGGCTTTTTCTGCTTATATGGTGCTGAGGAATCGAACCCAGGGCCTCAGGCATGCAAAGCAAGCACGCTACCACTGAGCCAACTTCCCAGCCCCTGTGCTTGAATTTTTTAAGATTTTTTTTCCTCCTGATTGCTTTTATTTTCACTGCAGTAATCCTACTGGTATGTTTTTCTAAGTATGCCTTTGTATGACATAGACACTCATTAGTATTTTCCCGTATGCAATTTCCTAAGAAAATTGTTTCTACAAAGTTAATACTATAAAAATATTTAGCAGTTATTTTTGGACTTTATTTTCATTTGCTTATTTCTTGGTAGACAGAACAGAACAGTTCTTTTCAATTATTTCTGGAACATTCATGGGAGTACTATCTACCTCTTCTTGCAATTATAAGGAAAAGAACCCGAGAAATATCTCCTGTCCATCACGGCTGTCAGTATTTGTGTCAAAAATTCCCTGAAATGCTCCTTGTAATGGAGCCCCTGCTGAACAGACCCCACATTTTAATAAAGAGGCAGAAACTACACTTGCTATTCATTGACTCAAAAGGAATAGCACACAACATTAGGAGTAATATAGATAGGGAATTGGCTGGAACTTATTAAATAAAAATTTAAAACACCATCGTTACACTACAGAGCTGAGAAGAATTGAGAGAAAAGGGGTAGACCGATAGCAGTGGAAATAGGAAAGAGACCGGAGGGTAGAGAAGGTAAGGAGTGGACTCAGGAGACGCCCAGGTGGAGAGAGTGTGGAAGCACGCGGAGGCCAGGGAGGAGCGGCAGGGAGCCGGCGCATGCTCACGCGGAGGCCAGGGAGGAGCGGCAGGGAGCTGGTGCATGCTCACCTCCTCGCACGGGAAGCGGCCAGTTCATGTCTTCAACATCAAGCAGAGAACTGAGCAAGTCCTTGTGCTCTCTGAATGGAAGAGACTGTGTTTCCATCTGGGTGACGGGTGGTCAGATGAGTTAGAGCCAGGGAAAGGACGGCAACCCTGGGCAGCAACGCTGCCTGGCGGCAGAGGAAGTGCCCGCCACTTCTGTAAGTGGAGCCAGCTTCCATCTCCCTCCTCCGCATCCAGAGCTCCTTCCCTGACCCTGTCCTGGGTAGCGGCCATCTGAGGATGGGCAGCCATACGCATGCCACCCACGGGTTGGACCTGTGTCTGTTAGTGACATCCAGGTACCAGGTATTGTGCTAGGCACGGGAGAACAGGCCCAACTGAGACACCGCCTCTGCCCTCAAGTGCCCTTGCCGGTTTGTACAGGGCGAGTAACTGTTAAATCACCACGGGGTGGGGGGTAAGTATGCTAACGGATGAGAAACATCACCTACATCCCTGGGCGAGAAACATTTCCCGAGGAGTCCCCCGAGCTGCTGCTTCCCCCTGCCAGCTCTTCCTCTTAATAAAAAATCCACTAGAATAAATACATTTTGGGAAAGTCTTTGATTTGCTTCATACTAAAGAGAAAATTAATTTTGATTTGATTCAAATGTTAGCGAATTAGATCTGGTGGGTTTTTCCCCCATTGGTAGATTAGTTCCTTAAAGTTCTGATTATCCATGAAAGCATGTGTTAACATTTATATTCCATAACCCCGACGAATGTCTAGAGTTTCCACGAACAGCGTGGAAGCTTTGGCCCTGCGCCGCCTCCTCCCGTGGCAGGACGCCTTTGCAGTCCCCCAGAAGACTCGTGTTTGTTTAAGATGTGTGGATAAGCCGCACGCTGGCGCTGTCTCCTGTCACCCCAGCCGGGGGGTGGGGGGCGGGAGGCCGAGATCTGAGCACCGTGCAAGCCTCCGCCTCCCCCCCCCCCCGGGTGTTAGTGCTCTTGCACTGAAAACCCCAGCTCTTCTGCAGGGACCTTTGCAATTCTCCCGGCATCCATGTTGGGCTTGGGTCTCCTCGGTGCAGCTTCAACGAGAGGCTTCTGCTCAGTCCCAGAGGAGTGTCTGAAGTGGCTGTCTCCCTTTCTTCCAGGTGATCTGCAACTCCTTCACCATCTGCAATGCGGAGATGCAGGAGGTCGGTGTTGGCCTGTACCCCAGGTATGGAGAACAGTTCCCCTCTCAGCCCAGCCAGCCAGCCAGGCAGCGCTGTCCCCAGAGCCAAGAAGGTGCAAAAGTCTTAGATTTTACGCCAGCACCTCTGTGCTGTGCATAAGTGGCAAGACACCTCCTCCCACCCGAACGCTTGCTCTCTGGTGGCTTCGAGTAAGCAGTGGATGCTGGGCCCTGAGACCCGGGCACCCCCAGGGCTGATCATTTCAGGATCATTTCACCAGACTGCTGTAGCTGAGCTGGTTTGGCCATTTGCACGTTGTGCTTTGGCCACATTACCGGACCAGAGAGGGAACCGGCGAACCTGCCCTCAGCACGCCCTCTGCGCTGCCCGCTGTGACCTTTGCCCTGACCTCGGCCCGGCCCGGCCTTCCCAAGCACTGCCTCACACACACACACCCCCCCCCCCGCCTGCGCTGTTCTGTGCCCTCGGGGCCTGAACCTCAATCCTGTGTCTTCTCCCCCAGCCTTTGTGGTGTGGGTTCTGTCTGCTGGCCTCTGACGTCTCCTCTTTTCTTTCCCTCAGCATGTCTTTGCTCAACCACAGCTGCGACCCCAACTGCTCAATTGTGTTCAACGGGCCCCACCTCCTCCTGCGTGCAGTCCGTGACATCGAGGCAGGAGAAGAGGTGAGCATGAGGCACTTGCCTGCGAAGCCCTCTCGGTGTGGCCTGTTCCCAGGCCAGCACGCAGGCACACCTGCACAGAGATGGCTGTTCGCTTATTTTTCAGCCATCGTGGATGTGGATGATAATGCATGCGTGCACATGAGATGTTTGTGTAGACGGGGTGTATTTCATGTGTACAGCCGCCCGTGTCATCTTACACGGCAGGGAGGCAGCTGGCTGTAGATCTGACTTCTCCCCACAGCCACTCAGCTCACTTCTAAGGTGATCGTGCACTTTAAGTTCCATGTTGAGTAAGCGAGTATGATTTGCTCTGGAGCCTTCACGAAAGTGCTCAGCTCACCAAAGACCCAAAGGAAATAGAGGCTGGGGAGTGTAATCTGCAGCGGTGCATTGGCCTTGGTCCCCTCCCTGGAACATGGACAGCCAAGCCTGCCTCCTCTGGTGACCAGCCTTCATACTTTTTTTTTTTTTTTGGTTATGGGACTTGAACTCTGGGCCTGGGCGCTGTCCCTCAGCTCAAGGCTAGTGCTCTACCACTTGAGCCACAGCGCCACTTCTGGTTTTCTGATGGTTTAGTGGAGGTAAGAGTCTCATGGAGTTTCCTGCCTGGGCTAGCTTTGCACTACTATCCTCAGATCTCAGCCTCCTGAGTAGCTAGGATGACAGGCGTGAGCCACCAGCACCCCGCAAACCTTCATACTTTTTAGAACCAGTTTCCTTCTGCCTTCCAATCTGCTAAAATAGGTATTTATCACAAGAGAAACAGCTTTGATTACATTTATGTAGCCCTCAGACAATAAAACTGAACTTGGAGATACCGCATTTTAGAGACAGGGTCTGGTCTGAGGAGACTCCCTCCACAGAGACGCTCCACGGCGCTGCTGCCTCTGACACGGCAACCTGCCGACTTCCGGCTTCCAGGGCTCCCCGTCAGTGGTCGGGAGAATCTAGGGTCACTTTTCTAGTCTAGGTTTATGACTTTGAGGCAGGTGAGAAAGGGAACTGCTGCCCGTTTTCATCTGTGGCTGTGGCGGATGATGTGTTCATCTGCACAAAGCACACAGCAGAGGCCGGGCTGGTCTCAGTGCTGGTATGTTTGCCCAGCAAGCAACTGGTTCTGCCCTCAGCACTGGAAAGGAAAACTGACAAGCAGACAGAGAAACTGCTAGATGTGGTCAGTGAGTTCTGAGACAGAGATCCCTTCTGGTCTTCATGTACTTGAAAAGCCCATCTTTTGTGCTTTTTTTCACTGTTTGCCTGCCTGCTCTTCCTAGCTCTGGAGCAACAGCAAATCCAGTTTTTGCTCAGTATCAGAAAGATCTCAGACACAGCAGCTCAGGTATTTCCCTCTGCTTGCTCCTTCCTGTGCTGGGCTGCCCCAGGACAGCTCGCGGCTCCCAGTGGTCCTCCAGTGTGGCTGTCTGTGTTCCGTGCGGCCAGGCAGCCGGGTCAGACGGCAGCTTCTGTCCCCGGCCACGGCTGTGGTGCACCTGACAGGTTTCCTGTCCTCCAGTGCCGCGGATGAAGCCATTTCCTGTGGGAGGGGACGGCCTTCTCTGCCTGGGAGATAACACGCAAGTAACGGCAGGTTGGTGGTGGACTGGAGACGCTTTTGTTGAGGATTAAGGAAAACCACATGGAGGGTCTGCGTTGCTCTGGGGAGATCTTGACAGCTCCCTCAGCAGATGATCCCGCTCTCTTCCTCTCTAACACCACCCCTCCTCCCTCACCTCACACCCCCATGATTACTTGGTCTTTAAAAACAGAGAAGTGACTTACACAGGGTGGTACAAGCTGATAAACGTTGCAAGGAGATAATCACAAGGAAGTGTGAGGGAATTTGGGAGTGCTGCGTGGGGTGGGAACCGGCTTGTCACGTTGGGGGGGGGCGGGTTAGACCTCGCTGAAAAGTGAGATTGGTTGAAGTAGGACCGCGGGCCCAGCCAGAAGACAGGTCCACAGACCACCCGGGGCCACAGGGCGCTGCTGGGGTGCAAGACCCACATTTCCCCTGGGATTATCACACACTAGTGTTACACAAGCACTAAAAATGAGCTAGTAGCGAAATGAAAGAAAAAACCTCACAGAGAGTTACTCTTACCGAGTCAGCGTCTCCCTGCTTCCTGGGGAGCTGGTGGTCCGTGGGGGGAGTCGCAGTGTGGAGGCCACTGCGGGGACGTGGCCCTTAGGGGCCGCTGCTGTGGCATTTCAACCGGAAGCAGCCCTGACCGGCACAGCTGTGGCTTGAGGAACGAGGGCAGGGCACCTGGGGCCTGGAGCCAGGCCTGAGACTTGCATTTCACAGGGAAGTGGTGATGGTAGCTCAGAAGGACAGGACATCGGAAAGGTAGCGAGAGCTTGGTTCTCCGTGTATTTTTTGTAGTTCTTGCTGCCCTTGGGTGGCAAAGTCAAGAATAACTCTTGAGGTTGCAGTGTGGATAACACAAGGGGACTTATTCCCGCCTGTGAGTAGACAGGCTCTGAGGCGGAATTGTGGCAGAAGTCAGTTGTGGGTTAGATAGCTGGAACTGTGTCTCAGTGCACTGTAGATCTGTTCAAGCATCGCAGGGGTGCCTAGAGACCTGTGACTTGGTGGACTTGGAGAGCTGCCGGGGGCTCTCCGCCGGGGGCTCTCCCCACCGGGGGCTCTCCGCCGGGGGCTCTCTCCACCGCCGGGGGCTCTCCGCTGGGGGCTCTCCCCGCCGGGGGCTCTCCGCCGGGGGCTCTCTCCACTGGGGGCTCTCTCCGCCGGGGGCTCCCCGCCGGGGGCTCTCTGCCGGGGGCTCTCCCCACCGGGGGCTCCCCGCCGGGGGCTCCCCACCGGGGGCTCTCCACTGGGGGCTCTCCGCCGGGGGCTCTCCGCTGGGGGCTCTCCCCGCCGGGGGCTCTCCGCCGGGGGCTCTCCGCGTGCGCCCGCTGCCCTTTCATAGGCATTAGTTACTGCACATGACAGACCCGAGGAATGACCACGGGACCCCGCCAGCGAGGGCATGCTCACACGGAGCTCCTCCTCCTCCTCCTCGCACACTCGGACGCACTTTTTACTATGCGTCTTCTCATCCAATGATAGCATACGGGGTGCGGCTGAATTCCAGGCGGCACTGTGGAGTCGTGAGGATTTAAGAGCAATCTGGCCACGTCATCTGCTGCCCCCTTGATTGCCAGGATGGACTTGGCCTCTCCAGTCACCAGCCGTTAGAATTTATGGCTAAACCTTCGTAGTACCAAACGTACAAAAAACAGTTCCTGTAATTTACCGTCCAGTGGAGGACAAAAAGGTGTGATTCAGACAAAAATACAGAGGCCACAAGCTGAGTTCTACTAACTAAATATGTGACGTGTGTGTGTGTGTGTGTGTGTGTGTGTGTATGTTCACACTGCACAAAGATTGACAGGAAACACATCAAAATCTGGTGCAATTGTGTGGTGAGGGGGCGCTAAGAGGCATCTTCTCTTCTTATTGTTATGTAATAAATGTAAGTTTTAAGTTTTACTCTGACAAGTACCAGTGCCCTCCCTGCAGTATGCACAGCGGCTGTGTGATCGCTTCCTCTTGGTCCTGCAGCTCACCATCTGCTACCTGGACGTGCTCATGACCAGCGAGGAGCGGCGGGAGCAGCTGAGGAGCCAGTACTACTTTGAGTGTGACTGCGTCCGGTGCCAAACCAAGGACAAGGTAAGCTGCATGGAGCCAGAGTGGAACACTTCTCGAAGACTTCCAGAGAATTCGGCTTTTATTTTGTTAAACAAAGGACCCAGGGCTGGGAAGGTGGCTCAGTGGTAGAGCTCTTGCCTTGCATGCATGAGGCCCTGGGTTCAATTCCTCAGCACCACATAAGCAAAAAGAAAAAAGCCGGAAGTGGTGCTGTGGCTCAAGTGGTAGAGCGCTAGCCTTGAGCTGAAGAGCTGAGGGACAGCGCCCAGGCCCAGAGTTCAGGTTCCAGGACCGACAAAAACAAAAATACAAAGGTCCCTCAGAGTACACAGGTTATGTACTTGTTATTTCCTGCACCTTCTGTTCCCTGCCAGGCTGATTTAAGCACAGGTGAGGTTCTGTGGGCCTTACAGTTGGGGAATACAGACATTAAACACGGAATTCAAGGATAGAAAAGGCCCAAGGCTGTTATGTAGTAAGAGAGTTAGATTCCATTACAACCGATAATATACCAAGTGTTATCTAGTTTATCTCTCTAAAATAAGTTCCACAAGGCTTTCTTGGAAAGTGTTATCACAGGGAGATTCTGTTCTCACTAAGGAGGAAGAGCCAGACTGAATGCCAGCAGATAAAGATGGAGCCCTCTCTGGGTCCTGGGGTGCGCTCCTCATTTTGAGCCTGTTGGAATTGGTATATAATTGGGTTATCTGATGGAGGAGTGCTTTTGTGTAGCTGTTGATGGTGTTAGTGCTTGCGATCATTACCTCATTTGCTGTCAGTGAGTAGGTGTGGCTGCGGGATAGCGGGAAGGAAAGGGTGGCCTGGCTGTGTGTCCCTCCCTCTGGTCCTCCACCTGCACTGCAGGCTGCTTGCACGTCCTCCAGGGACTTCAGGGACCTGCCTGCCCCTGAGCATCTATGGACAGAGACCCTGGCTCTAGCTCCCTGAGGAAGGCCAGTGCTCTCATTGGGGTGCTATACTAGACAAGAACATAGTTTCGTGAGAAAAAGGACTTTTAGAAACCATTTAGTAGAGACACTGGATTCGTGGCCCACGGCCCCGGTGCACTCTAGAGTTAGCTTTTGCCAGCGGCCAGGGAGCCAGGGAGCAGGGCACCCCAAGCCGCCCCTCCCCCCCCCACGGTGATCTGAAGGGAACCACGCCACGCCCGCGTCCCACAGGCCTTCTGGGGAATGGGAGTGCGCTTGGATTTGGTTCCTCTTAGATGTCACAAGTGTGACAAAACGCTTTAATGAATTATGCTTTATTAAACCTTGGCGTCTGTTCGCTTTTATTGTAAATGTTGAGGTGTAGGGAAGGGTTGGCTACAGATAAAATTAACAGGTTGTAGTAGGTAGGGCACAGCGGGTCTAATTCTGGAGACGTGATCCAGGACTGGAGCAGCTGCTCAGGGCTCGTCATGAGCGCCCCTCTTCTTTTCACCTTGCTTATTTCTCCTGCGCTGCTTTTGATCACAGGGGCCCAAGCTCTGGACAGGGAAAGGGGGGCCACCAAAGCGACAAAGGAGGGTGCCCTAGGGACGCCGCCTGCGCTTCGTTGTCCGAGCTGCGCCACGTGGGCCGCACGAGGCTGTAAATGAGGACAGGAAACTTTTTAGCTTTTCAGAGTTGACTCCAGGGACAAAGGGATGCGAATGCCTTCTACAGCATCCTCACCACATCAGGTCATTTTCTTTGCTCTCTCTTACTCCATTGAGCTAGAAACTTATTTAATATTGTATGAGTCAGGGTTCTGAAGAGAGAGAACCAACGAGACGTGTGGGTGTCTGTGCACACACGCGTGTGCACACACACAGCCATGGGTCACTTTACGGTGGGGATACATTCTGGAAAATGCGTCACTAGGTGATTTTTATCACAGCACAAACATAGAATAGCACAACATAACTCTTCCACAGTAAGCTTGTTTTGGTCAGTAGCAGTCAGTTCTAAAATAACAGTGAAGTACGTACAATATAGTAAACCATAAACCAGTAGCATCGCCATTTGCAATCGCGTGTTGCATACTGTACGTTACTGTACATTGTCCTTTATTCCACTGGCAGTACCACCTCCTCCTCATGGGCAAGTTTGCACTAGAACATTACTGCATGATGCTAGGAAACAGGACTTGTTCAGCTCTGTTAAAATTTTACGAGATCATTGTCTTATCGTCAGTCTGTCCTTGATCAGAATATCATTATGCTGCTCATGACATGTGTGTGTGTGTGTGTGTGTGTGTGTGTGTGTGTGTGTGTGTGTGTGTATTTGGAGAGAGAGAAAGTGATTAGCTGATTGATTGATGTTAGAAAGTGGCCCTGTGATTATAGAGGTTGGGAAGTCCCGTGGTCATCTGTAGTCAGTCAACTAAAGACCTGTCGCATTAGTGGCGTGCATTGTGGTCTGAAGCTGGCAGGGCCCAGACCCCGGGAGAGCTGATATTTCAGTTGAGATCAAAGCAAAACATGGCTGTGCTTCTAGCTTCAGCAGTAAGTCAGGAGCGCCCTGTCCCTTGCAGGAGAACCAGCCTCCGCCTTGCATGAGGCCACTCGCTCAAGAGAGAGAGCAGTGCTCTTTCTTGGCTTGAGGTCAGGTGTGACGTCAGGTTGGTACATAACACGAACCCTGCAGGTTGTCTAGATGGTGGAGTCAAGAAGTCTCCTGCCGTTCAGGCCACTCCCAACAAACCCCGTGATCCCAGGCAAGCCAGCCCGCCTCTGGTGTCATGCGGAGACTCGGATGCGCAGTCAGAAAGCCCCGCTAGCCCTATTGGCTGATGTCTCTGTGACATGTTTCCTGCTCAGAGGCGGAGAATATGCACTCAAATGAGACTATAAACTTAGTTATTTTTTCCCATTTGTCTCAATTTTTTTTTCCTGTTTGGTTACATATACTTCCCACTCCAATCTCTCCTGCTATTCAACTTAGTGCATCCCCCAGAGAGAATTAATTCAAACGTGGCTTGAGGTCAGGTGTGATGTCAGGTTGGTACAGTGCAGTCAAAAGTAATGACACTCCAGTTCCTGACTTGAATTTTTCAGGCATGCTTTTCTGTTTTACTTGGAACTTCGGGGGTCCATCTTGGGGGACCAGTGGGAGGCGGGAAGGGGAAAGCTAGCCATGTATGACCCAAGTGTACATGTATGAAAAGGTCATGTGAAACCCACTTGTAAGAAAGATTTAAAAAGGGAAAGGGAAAGAGGAGGGAGAGTAAGGTACTAGGTGCTGTGAATATGATCAAAATACATTATATGTATACATGGAAGTATCACAGTGAACCACCTCACATTATATGATTAGTATATGCCACCGAAAATACGTAATGTAATAGAAAAGACAGGAGTGGGGAGCTTATCTTCCAAGCTCTCTGCATCCAACAGTTTTTACCCCATGCCCACAGACAGCTGTGTGTCTGTTGCTGGACTTGCATAATATTATGTTACAGGAAGGTAGGACCATTTTATAGCTGGCATTATTTGCATGCATGTAATTGCCATATGTAATCAACAGCAGCTTAGTTTCTGGAAGAAATAAACTTACTACCTAAGGGAAGTTTGAATGACTTGGGCTGTTTTACGGCTTGATCAGGTCAGAATGCGAACAAGCCGTAGACCACGGGAACTGATCGCTTCCATACTTGCAAGTGGCACATGGTGCGCGGCCAACCCCCTTGGATGGCACATGGTGCGCGGCGAACTCCCTTGGATGGCACAGTGCTTTACTAGAATTTTTTTTCTTTTCCTAAGGCCTCTAACAATTCTCCTTTTAAAATAGCATGCCTGTCATTACACCGAGCTCTACTGTCTTGCTCCCCGACGGTTGAGGTTGAGGTAGCCCCACCTGCTTTCCCCCATCCACCCTTCACGCTGTTCAGAGTAAACGTTCCCACGAACTATCGTGTCCTCGCTGTTACTTTGCTCGGCATTAAACCTCCTCAGTGCTCAGGATACACTTCAGATTCTTAGTTTGGCATTCAGTTGTTTCCAAAGTCCTGATCCCGGGATCAAACCTATGGTTCATCTTGTTATCAATATTACCACTTTATTTGACAGTACACTGAAGTCAGGCACACACACATCCATTCACACAACTGCATGCACACTGTGCACATGGGTGGGGAACATCTGGCCTGTGGACCATAAAGACCCAAAACAAGACAGACAGATCTCCTCGCTGCTGCCCCAGCCACAGCCCCGCTGTCCCCACAGCTTAATGTGGCCCGTGAGTGTTCTTACAGTGTCCAAATGACCCATGGCAGGACAGTTCCCAAGTCTGACGTAACCTTACACTTTATATTTATTGGCCTAGAATACAGTTCATAGGATGCGTTTTGTAATGATTCTGATGAATCTGATTTGCTTTAAATTTCTCAGCAGCAAAAGCTAAAAGATGGATTCAGAAGTTGTTAGCCCCTGGGGCTAGGTCCCTCACGCACCCTCTTCCCACCCCCATCATGGAGCCCCCACCCCGCACTCACGCACACCTGATGCAACTCCACGTGGACGGGCGGAGGCAACAGTTGTGGTGCACGTGGCGCGGCTGCCGGGCGTCTTCCAAATAAGAGAAGGAGGGAGGGGGAGGCAGCCGGGCCCCCTCGGCGGCCCTGCTGCTGTTTGCCCCATCCCGGAGGGGTGTTGCGGGTCAGCGGGGGAAGCCAGAGCTCCCTGTGGTCCCTCCTTAGTGCCCACAGGACACCCGCATGGAGCTGGGAACGTCTGCCCAGCTGGCCCTGCCCAGCTGCGGCCTCCGCCCGTTCCCAAAGCTCACTTACAAGGTGCTGTGTCACGATGGTTCTGTGTTCCTCTAAATGGGGGGCTTTTCTTGATTATTTCTAGGATTTCAGATTCGCTTTTTTCTTCTCTCTTAGTTGCGGTCCTTGGAGGCAAGCCGGGCGTGGGGCCGCCGCGCGAGCTCCCTCCACCCTTCCTATCTCTCTCTGTGTTTTATTTCCGTTTTCGTTCTGTAACCTCATTTCTTCTAATGCACATTCCTATGCCAGTTACCTAGTAAAGAACCTAATCA